GACAGGAAAAGATTCAGGTGGATGCAAGATTAAAACTGTAGATTGGACTTCATAGAACTTGGAGTATTAGATCTCTTACTCAGCTTTGAAACTCTGATGTAGACTACTCATTGATATCTTCATAACTATTTTGGGATTATTTCCAGCTTGAAAAATGTGCTGAATCCTGGCTCCATAGTGTTTGACAAGTCAGAAGCCAGGCATGTTCTTTGTCTTCTGTGTTTATTCATGTCATGGCTGTTGAAGTTGTGGCCAGTTGTTCTGAAAGACAATTTGCTAAACCAAAAACATAAAGACAATTCAGACCTCATAATTGTCCGTTCCCTGCTATAGCAAAATGAAAAACAAAGTAAAAACAACCCTAATCATAACTTATTAAAGAAAGTTATGTATTTTTGCTGTATGATAGAGTGGAGCTCAACATAATGAATCACCAATTTAAACGAAGAAAGAGGCAGATTCAATATGTGCAAGAATCTCCTTTTTATAGAATGCCTAGTGTGGTCTAAGTGTCTAGAAATGTGTGTAATGAAAACAGGCTTAGCCTAGATTTCCTACAAAGATCTGTACTTAGGTTTCACCTGGCATGATTTGTTGCTGTTAATCTTACCACCTTGCCTCATAAGTGTGCTATGAAGACCTGTTATTAAGTTCTGGTACTGGCTTTGTTTTTCTAGTGTTTTATTTAACCACTATATTTTTTAGGACAAAGTCAAAAGGAAGGTGCAAAATGAAAAGGCACAGAAGCATATAAGTGCTATAAATTTACTCGATAAAGCTGATGGTTGGTGCTGGGTTTTGAGAAGTGAGTATGAGGCAATGCCTTTGGTCACCTCAGTGGAAGCAGTTGTTGTCCCGTGCATTTACACTCGTGATTCACAAATTGTACTGAAAAATCCTTCAACATTAACCAGCCCAAAGGCAACTTTGTCCTTGCTTGGCTCTGAACTATTTTTGGGGGGAGAAGGGGGGCATGACAATGTTAAAATACTTGCTGTAATGATTTAGAGTTCTAGGGGACTATAGCCATCATGTTACTTAGGTCTTAAGCACAAAAGACTATTTCTTTTCCAAGAAGCTTGGCAATACACAGTTATTCTTTATCACTGATTTTTAGATTGGATCCAACTCTAACATTTTTATTTATGAAATAAATCCCAGAAATGTCTATCAGATAAAGTAATACAAAGCATTACAAATCTTTCCGTGATGAATACATCATAATTTTATGTTTTATAATACAAGCACAAACGTTTCCCAGTCATTACTCAGTGACTATTTATGAAATACTTGGGGGTGGGTATCAGCAGTGCTGATGTGGTGGTGACTGGCAGTGTTCTTCCTGACACTATGGGTGTGTTACAGGTGAGGGAGGCTCAGTCTCTTGTATTACATAGGTGTGTCTCTTTGTAAAGATGAGGATTCTCTGCTGGCGTATAGAAATTTGCACATTGCTTCCTGGGTAGCAAGCTTTTGACAAGTACACTCTCTAACTTGAAGGTCTTTGTCTGAATTTAGTAGTAAGGAGGCATTGTGACACAGCCCGTATGGTTTCATTAGAGTTGTTTAGTACAGACTCCATGCATAGCCTGTCCCACGTGTGCCTGCAGACCAGAGGTGGAATTGATCAGAATGTTTGTTTTATCAACACACTGGATAAATATGCCAGGCTATTGACAAAAATAGGATGCCTGTCAACTCGCTGTACTTGCAAAGGAAATACTGTGAAGGTGTGTTACTTACTCAGAATACATGGGAAACAAGAAAAAAAACCCAAAACTTTAAATTAAGACTTTCTTCTAGGCACCTACATTTCTTACTAAACTGGAATGATAAAAGTACGTATTGCTACTTATAAACCCCCCCCTCCCCAGCAAACAAAAAAACTAAAACCGTAGCAGTAGTGATAGTAGTTTGAGATCTGTTTTTATTTTCAGGAAGACGTTTATGGAAGTAGCCTTGATTTTATTAGCTTGTGCTCTATTTTATACAACAGTCAGAAAGAATGATTACATTTAATTTGGAGAGCTGAACAATTAACAGAGTTAATAGTCTTAAAGATAAGATAGGAATGCTTTCTGTATGTGATCCTGAGGTCGTCAGATTTAAAGAAAAAACCAAGAAAACCACATGACCAGAACCATTATTGTATAGCTTTATATTTCTTCACAATTACTGCAAAATCTATTATGAGAAAACATTTCTTACTCAAATATACATTATCACTTATCTCAGAGTGTTTTGCAGTTTGACTAATTATGCAGTGTTAAAAGTTTTGGTTCCCTATGGCTGATACTGCTTGGCTGTCTGTAGCAGATGACTTCACTTAGAACATCTCATACTACAAGCTCTAATGTCATTCAGAATTTGAGAAACAGCACAGGTGTCCAATATGAAAAAATATGCTCTGTGGGAATCTAAATACTAGTGAGTATTATAAGGCTTGGACTGATGCAGAACCAAAAGCTGTTCAACATTAGCTTCTTTCTTCAACTGCTGTAATTCCAGGACTGCATTCTCTCCCACCTAAGGCTGAAAGAGAACATATGAATATTTTACAGCAGTTATTTAATATAATTAATTGTTTGTGCTGTAGTTCATGATGCCAAAAGTCCTCCAGAAAGCAGATTATTATGAGTGTAAGATTTGACTGTAAGAAGTTTCCTTAGCAAAACATAAAAAAAATAGCATAAAGAATATCTTTCCTATAGTGTGCATTTTTTTCCATGTTAAAAAATCAATTGAAATGAGTTTTTATATGACAGAAGTATGAAGGGTCAATTCATTCCCTCTCTTTAGTAGTCACTAAGGGACCTGTTTTGGCAGCACTGAAGAAGTTCTGCTAATGGCGGAGGGAATAGTAGGATTTGATCATGTCATACGTGACATCTTCCATCCTACATTCATTCCTTTATTTTAAATTTACTTATAGGCCAGAATGTTTACAGAACTGCAGTTTTGAAATAAAACTTAACTAGTCTTAGATACCTTTGTAAGCCTACAATTGTGGTATTAAAAAGCCAGAGATTATTTATAGAAAATCTTATTAAAATGTGCACTAAGGAACAAAAGATAATTCTAGTTGACATGTAAACCTTTTTAGATTATTTTAAGTAGCATGTTGATGCAATGAATCATTTGTTATGTAACTAGTAATTGGTTTTGTAGCAAACTCCATACAAATGCAACAAATGGTTGTAGCAAATTCTGCCACTGAAGAAACTTTTCAAACTGAACCATCAGATAATATAAAATTATTCCATCTCATGATGAAACTACTGTGATTTCCTAAACAAGTATTTGTAGTCACATTGGTTATTAATAAGTGTACCATTCATATGAAGGTAGAACATTATAGGTTTGCTCTTTTTAAGCAGTATCTTTTGAGGTTTTTTTGATATGTATTCAAATGTAATAATGGATGCATGGTTTAAAGGGAGAGGAAAAGCAGTAGGTTGAAAAGGACAGCGCCTGTGGAGACCCTCCAAAAAAAAGCAGAGAATCTGTGCAAGTGCTAACACAAATGTAAATATGCTTTGGTTTGGGGATAGCTCTGTGATTTATACAAGAACCCTGTTGTCATAATTATGTCACTGGACTCTGCTGGAGTCAGGAGGACAGCTGGCCTGAGACTGCATCAGTGTGTCCACAAGAAGACAGGATGATATATGCCTCTCAGGTAACCCTGTGGACATGGAAATTAGAAGGATAAATTTTGAAAGGTTTTTCTAGGTCTTTTCCTGTAAATTTGCCTTCTTCGTTGGTAGCTTGTCTGTCATAAATTGCTTTTATCCTTTTCTTTCTTTCTTTTTTTCTTTTTTTCTTCTTTTTTTAATCAGGGAGTTGTTTTATGGTGCCGTTTTGCAGCTACTTTTACTGAATAGCAACTGCAGGCGCTCTTTTCCATTCAAAATAAGCATTTCAATGCTTTACATACAGTAACTGTCTCTTGTTAATTTGACATAAATTGAGTAGTTTTCCTATAGATGTAATCTTTAATGTGACTATTTCAACAGTGTAGAGGGTAGTTTTCTGTAAAGAATTTATGGAGAATTAATAACATTGGAAATTCTGCTATCCAACATTTAAAAGCACCTGATTAGCAAGTGAAATTCTGTTATTCAGCTATGTATTTGGCATGAATTCAAGCAGCTTTACAGGAGGGTTTTTAACTGGGTTTGTACATGCCGTGTCTACCAACTGATGAGCTGTGGACCTACCCAGAGATTCTTGTTTTCAGAGAAGGTGAATGATACTTTTTTTTCCCTGTGCATCTGAATGGTACTTGAAAACATCATGCTGCCATCACATCTTATATGAAGAAGGGTTAGAGCAGGAAACCACTGTCTGAGAGTGTGCAAGGTCCAGTGCCTAGAGCCAGCACAGTGTGTGATGGAGGATGTATGAACTGGCCTTGCTGCAGAGCTTGTGTGGCTTGAGGCCTTGCTTAAGTGTGCCCACAGCTAGCTCACTGCTGCTGCAGAAGAATGCTAGCAGCTGTAAAAATGGGAGGTTTTACAGCTGTCTTTTAAAATACGAGGGTGGACGATTTAGGTATAGTTTTGAGATAGTTCATAATCATATCGCATTTCCTTAGTGTTTTGGAGAGAGAGCAAAATGGCATATGAGCCTACAGTCTCTTCATAGAACAACCAGAGTAGTTTGTTTAGAGCTATTGGTACCACACATTGACAGCAGAACGTGTGGCAGGGCATAAGAGATAGGAAGTTTCCTGCATGTCCTTGGGTTCATGCAGGAACTAGAATCAGTGAGACTCCTGATAAGGTTATTTTATAAAGCATTCCAAGATTATCAGAAGGGTTGCACTGTATCATAAAAGAAAAAAAACCCACCAAACAGGTAGAATATAGCATGCAGAAGCAGTTTTCCAGCTCCTCCCATTGCTGCACGTAAGTGACACAGTTATAGTTAACTTTGGATTATCAATCACTGTGAAACAGAATGGGAAGGTTGTACATTTGAACAGCTTTTTCACTTGTTTTACATTCAATGATGAGGCTCTCGGAACCAATACTAGACATGGAAATGGCAAACTACAGTGAAGTTTTAGATCCGACATATACAGCACTGGAATTCGAAACTATGCAGATTCTGTATAATGGAAATGGTGAGTTCTGCCCTGTAAGGCAAAATCAAGCCGGTTAACATAAAAAGTGAAGTTTAGTAATGCTATAAGGTGTTAGCTAAATGTTTTATTAATCGAGCATTTGGGGGTTGTTTTCAAACTACAAATCTCCTCTTTTACACTTCATCACTAACTGTAAGTTCTTTTAGTAACATTATAGTTCTTTAAGAAAAATAAAACAGAGGTTATATGTAATAAAGTAGCTGAACTGTACTGTCACCAGTCAGTTAATCAAAGGAGGAAAATGGTGTATTCAGCAGTTGTTTTATTTACTGTAAGACAAATGAATAACTAGTATTGACAGTTTGGACATGAAAGTATATTTTGTATATAACTTTCAGAAGGACAGGACAAAATTATCTAGAGGCTTGTGAAAAAAATTAGCTACTGTTTCTTTATTTTTACTTTCTAATTGTAGGACTAATGTTTTATTTATGCAAGTGTTAATCTAGCCTTTCTTGGTAAGTATATATATGAACTAAAGTGACTAAAAAAATTTTAAAAAATCACATTAGCTATCTAGAGTCTAATGTTTAGCTGAGAAAAACTATTTATATTTGACTAATGTAACACTTTAGGTAGAATTTTTAATTGCAATTTTTGAGAAGTTGCATCAATAATTTATGCTTAAAATAGGAAGCACACAATTTAATTCTGCTGTTACTGAGTACTGACCAAAAAGAAAGGAAATGTCAGTCTATTAAAGTGAAGAAAAGTATCAGGCAAGTTAAACAGCTCTAAAGTGGCCTTCCAAGTCTTCTAGTATACTAAAAAAGTTGGTTTATTGTATCATAAAGTGTAATTCATAGATCGATTCTACCTATTTTTAAAAGGCAGAATGAATATCTAGTATTTGTAGGAAAAGTATTTAGCATATACATTTCCACATATTTCTGCCTTATAGAACCTATTTAAATGTTTATTGTTGGGCTTGAAATTTTGCCTGAATTTCTGATGTTGCATTACAGCAAGGTTGGTAAACAGAAAGGTAGATTTGGATATTGATTTAGGAAAAACCCCCACACTTTTATGCCCTAAGTGATTTTGAAGCTATCAACAATTATTATATAACTTTTAGATGATTTCTCTGCTTTTTGCTCTAACACGGGTATTGGTCATCTGTTTTTTTGCTGAATATCACCCTTTTGAATCTGTTAATGTTACATGAAGTGGGAAAGCAGATTAGTGAGGTCGTGCTTGGTTGCATTATGTGTTGGCAATAGAGCTGGTTAAATTATTCACCGTAAGTGATTAGCTTGACAATTATTAGTTATTAGGTGCAGTCTTTTTCTGTTTAGAGTTTGAGTTTAGCTGAAGAATTTTCTTACAGAACTTATAAAACATTGTCCTGTCATTATAGTGCTAGTCTGGAACTGAAAGCTTCCTCTTATGAACCTTCTTATGTGGTTTTTCTTGCTATCCAAATTAATTAGGAACATTCAGAGAAGTTTAATCAGCCACATTCAAACAGATTGTGCAGTTCTGTTTAAATCAAAGAATTTTTCAACATCAGGTCGATTTCTCATACATTTTGTTTCAGAATAATACCAAGAAAATAAGTATAACCTTATATATATGCACACAACTTAAATGGCTGTGAAATACTTCATCATTACATTTAAATATTGTATTTGTAATTATTCTGCTGTGTGAGGCAAAATTGCAAAACTCCAAAAGAAAGGCCTTATGTGTTACTAAAGCAATTCTGTAACCCATTTTAAAAAATAATTTTCCAGTCATGACAAGCCTGATTTTAGAATAAAATGTTTACAAGACTTAATTCTTACTTTTAAGATTTCATTTTATTTAACCAATTTTTAATATAATTCCTGTTAATTGCAGCTCTGTAAAACAAAGCAAAAAGGTTGTTTCTTCTCTCAGAACTCTGTTTAAATTGTAAGCTCTGCAGGACATAATGAAAATTTCATAACATTTGTGTTATACATTTCAGTTCTATCTATACAGTATGATTAATAGTATGTATCTTACTGTTCAAGCTATCTGCTGTTCATGAACTCGTGTACTTGATTTTCAAATTCATGTTTGAATAACTAATTAATTTGGCATTCTTTCCTCTCCCAGACAGAACAGCCACAAATGCTTAGGGCATATTGTAGTTTTCCTTCCTTTCTTTTAAACCAGAAGCAAAACAGAAAAAGCTATTTTGCAGTTGTTTCTTTGAACATATCTGTTAGACATTGTGACTCAAAGAAGAATAGATATGTCTGGTTTGATTTCAGATGAATTTCTTTTGCAGTGTTTACCATAGTCAGTGACTAATTGTTAATCACATAGCTAATATCTGTGCAAGTAAAGTCTGCAGCAATGTTCATGTTGAAAATACCTTCAAGGAAATAACACTTAGACAGTCCTCTTAGCAAGCATTTTGGGGTGTGGTGTAAATTAATTATTGTGGAAAATCTCTTTTTTTGTTTTTGTTTTTTTGTTTTTCAATGTCATGAGCCTTGGTATGTGGTGCCAGTTATTGCCAACTCATATGAGAACTCATATATGAGATCTTTAGCAGTTAACCCTGCTGTGTGTGTAAATTCCTCTTCATGTAGTGGGAATGTATATATAATTATACATGCAGAATTACATGGAATTGCATTAATTTTTAACCCTTCAGTTGTAAAAGGTTTAAAGTACAATTACTTGTTGTGAACTTCATAAATTCTGTTAACATCTCCATCACTTTGAAAATGTTCATGTAATCGCATAGGTCATATTATATAAATTGTAAATGGCATTTAAACGAGAAAAGGCCAGAAAATGCCTCCACTTACATGCAAGTTGTTCATGAGGTGACTGTTGGAAGTCTTGTACGTAACTACGTATGTTGTTCTTGCCTCTTCTCAGACAGTTCAGGAGAAGCTGTCAACATGAATGCTGCTGACAATGGGGTCAGTAGTCTCTGTGCAATATGTGGAGACCGAGCGACCGGAAAACATTATGGCGCTTCCAGCTGTGATGGATGCAAGGGATTTTTTAGACGCAGCATAAGAAAAAACCACGTCTATTCATGCAGGTATTTCAAAAGTTCATCTGGAAGCGATAAATTAATGAATTTAAGCAAAAATTGTATTCAGATGTTTTCAGACTTTTCAAAATCATGTCAGGATATTTTCAACTTTTTCTTAAGGAATGCTGCTTGATACTACGCATTCCAGATGTCTGTTGATATTGTTGGTATCACTACAGCACTCAGAAGCTGCTTCAGTCTTTTAAGTATGATTACAAAGGTTATCTTCTTTAAAAAAAAATGGAAAAATGCTCATATTTTCACTGCAATGTGAAAACTGTAATTCCTACTGTTTTCTAAAAATTATTTTCTTATGAAGGTAGTTTCTGAATAGAAAGTCTAAGATTTATGAGCCTTGTTTTAAGGGCTATACAAACACATCTGAACATATTCCCACTTTGTGTGAAACACTTCTCTTTTGAGTGACCATTTTCCGCCAGTCAGTCTGAATGGCAATCTGCTACTTTCCAAATGCTGCCCAAATTATCACACTGCAGGTCTCTGCGTCTTGTTTGATGAATTGCTCTGTGCATGCACAAGACCATAAACCTTCAGTTTTAAGCCATGCACAAAATACATGGAAAGTTCTGTGGGTCTAGACAAATCACTGAAGAGATGTATTGGGTTGTCATGGCAAGGTTTTGGTAATGAGGGGGCTACAAGAGTGGATTCTGTGAAAAGCTGTCAGAGACTTCCCCTGTGTCCAGTGAACCCAATGCCAGCCAGCTCCAAGACAGCTAAAGCTGAGCCCATCAAGAATGGTGGTAGTGCCTCTGGGATAATGTATTTAAGAAGAAAAAATAATTATTGTGCAGAACCTAATTGCATCCAAGGAGAAGAGTGAAAGGAACAACTCTGCTGACACCAAGGTCAGTGAAGAAGGAGGGGTAGGGGAGGTGCTTCAGGTATCGGAGCAGAGATTCCCCTGCAGCCTGTAGTGAAGGCCATGGTGAGGCAGGCTGTCCCACTGCAACCCATTGCAATTCATAGGGGAGCAGATATCCACCTGCAGCCCATGGAGGATCCCATACTGGAGAAGGTGAATTCCCAAAAGAAGGCTGTGACCCTGTGGAAAGACCTCACAGGCTCCTGGCAGAACCTGCAGCCCCATGGAGAGAAGAGCTCATGCTTGAGCAGGTTTGCTGGCTGGACTTGTGACCCCGTGGGGGACACATGCTGGAGCAGCTTTTTCCTGAACGACTGTACTCTGTGGAAAGGACCTACCCTGGAGGGGTTCATGAAGAACTGCAGCCCATGGGAAGGACTCACATTGGAGAAGTTCATGGAGAACTCTTTCCATGAAACATGGAGGAGGAGTGAGGAGAAACAGTGTGAGGAGTCCTCCCCTTGAGGAGGAAGCAGCAGCAGAGACAATGTACGATGAACTGAATGCAGCCTCCATTCCTTTTTGCCCTGTGCCACTGCACAGGGTGAGAAGAAAACTTTTTATAAGAATGGCTTGTTACTGGAAACATCATTTGCTACACGCTTCCTTGGTTGCATAATACTCTTACAAGGAAATCTCTCTCTTGTAGCTTTTCTTTTTTTTAATTCCACTGCCATTTGATGCAGTCAGTTACTGACATACCACACAGATCAGTTCAGGTGTAAATGCTGCACATAACTCCAAAATTTTCCACACTTGCCTGTTCCAATGCAAATATGTATCTATACACACACATATATTCCTGGAAACCAAGCAGGTATGAAAACATCTCAAAACTGATTAATAAAGAAAAATAATCAAGACAACTGCAGAAGAAAGGCTGGTCCTAGACATTATTCTGACAAACCAGGTTAGTTGATTTTCTTCTTCATAGTCAGAGTGCTGCTTTGTTAATGCTTTATACGTTTGCCTTTTCTTGTCTCTGATAGATTCAACCGACAATGTATTGTTGACAAAGACAAAAGGAATCAATGCAGATATTGTCGTTTAAAAAAGTGTTTTCGGGCAGGAATGAAAAAAGAAGGTAATTGAGTAATTTATTATTTGATATACAAAGAGAAAAAATCTGAATTAGTTTTAAAATATAATAAAAATTCTAAAAAACGTCAGCAGAATAAAACAATGGAATGTCTGCTATAATGCCTTCATGATGGAGAAATGCTTTTACATTGAGATGCAATATACATCTTCTAATTTTCAGGTGGGTAAGCAGTTCTATCACTTTGAACATTAGCAAGTCCATGGATGTAAAGTAAATTTCCAATTGTTTAATCCATAAATCCTGGTACCAAAATTAATTGATTTCTACATATTGAGCCATATCCTGGAAAAGTTCAAACTGTGAGATTTTAATTTTAACAAATCTGAGTCATAAAATCTCTATCTTTTTTTTTTTTTTTGCTGCCTTAAGTAATGACAGTGCCGATTCACTGCTTCTTCCCTTAAGATTAAATGTATGAATCATTTAAGCTAGAGGAAGGACTGTGAAGTTGAGTGGTGAGAATCATAGTGGTAGCTGTTACTGGAGTGTCCACAATAATTTAAAAAAAATAAATCTACTTTCCTTAGGAGTTAATATGGGAAAATTGTTACTTATGCATCCCCGACTGATACGAGAAACATGAGTATCACAGTGATCCTCCTGACAAAGTGGAAGGACCAGATGACCACAGGAGCAGAGCAATAGAGAAAGAAGGACAGTGGGAATATCAGAGGGGTTTTTCTGTTGGAGCTGTTGCTGCACTGACAGTTACAATGTAGAGGCAAAAAATACCATGATCTGTTTCAAATATGCACTCAAAAGTGGTTCATCACAAACTTTTCTACGTATCTTGTGTGCTGTATGTGCCTGAAGGCCAGTTTGAAATGTGAGCGCTCAGTTCTCCTCTACTGTAACGAGTCTATCGTTCTTTTAGTCTGTACATAGCTTTTCTAAGATAAAGGAAGCTCTTTATGCTCCTAAGTATCTATACTGTAGTTTTGCTTTGCTAGTGGTCACGTTTTGGTATGAGATAAAATGGATTTTTCTTCTTGAAGCTGGATAGGGGTATACTAAACAGCATTACAAGTGTATGTATGGAATAGATTTTTCAACTCCTTTAACACACTGTAGCCTTTTGGAATTTGAACCATTAAAATCAGTAACATACTGTATATACATTATCAATCTGATGTGAAGAAAAGTGAAGATCTGTGTATCCACAGCAGCCCTAAAAATTTTGTAAAGAGCAGGTTTTTACAGACTTTCAAAACCTGGAATTCAAGAATAGTTTATCTCAGAAAGAACATCTGGAATTCATCTAGTTCAGAGCCCCATTTAAAGCAAGGCTAATATTTAGGTTCAGTCAAGTTGCTTGGGCCCCTGTCCAGGCAGGTTTGCGCAGTCCATGACTGGGGAGATTCTACAACCTCTCTTGGCAAGTTCTTCCAGTGCTTGACCACCCTCATTGGGAAGAGTTTTTTCCTTCTAACTAACTGGAATATGTCTTACTGCAGTTAGGGTGGCGTCCATTGTCTCTTGTCTTTTCACTGTGCATCTGAGAAGAATCTGGCTTCATTCTCTGTACACCACAGAAATCAAGACTTCCACCTCCACCTTGGTTCTCTCTTTTTCACATAAGCAAAGATGCCTTCCTCTGCTTCACCTTGTGCATCTTGTGCATTACATCTCCATAGTTGTCCGCTGTTCACTGCCCAGTTTTCCAGCATCTTTCACATGCTGGCAAGCTAAAACAGAGAAATGCTTATTTCCGTCAAGATGCTAATGCAGCCTGATGCATAGCACAAATCTTTTAACCTAATTTACACCACTCTGCCCCACTACTCTGGTCCCACTATCTCTAAAACTTTAATTTTTCATTGCATCCAAGCCTTGTTTATTCAAGGCTTCCCAGTGCTAAAATAATTAAAACACTGAACTGTAAATTTCACAGTTTGTATGTTGTTACAACCTCTCTACATGGTCAGAGCATGTCTCATAGCAGAGGTGTAGCATAGTCTATATGATAGTTTCTTCTGATAGTTTCAGGACAAAGGTAGGAAAGGCTTCATTGGGTAAAAGCTATACAAGCCCTCTTTGGGCACATATTCCACCTTCCTCACACAGTCTCTGTTTAGGGAAATTTTAGCCTGAACTGACAAAAAGGCTTTAGTCAGGCAGACAGTCTAGTCTAATAATCCAAACATGTATATGCATGAAAATATTGAAGCATCCACCTACACTTCTCAACGGGCTCCACCACTGACATTCACTAGTGATTGTCAGAATGCCTTACTGTTTTTGCAATACTAATCAGTGCTGACCTTATTTACCTTATTTTAATTATCTGTGTAGAACTTAAGCAGTGAATGTTTGTTTTGGCATTCTTTTACAAAAGGTTGTGTTCTTTGCTTCCTGTCTGTGCTATGTGTCACACAAACATATAGCACTTTGTGTTTATTACCACATAGCATTTCTTACTATGACCTTAATAAAAGGCCCATCAGTGAGTGTCCTTGCAAAACGTTAGTACACCTCTGGAATAAACTATGTGCATTGTTCAGATAAACCCTGAAACTATTCAGTGCATAGAATATTTTATTTTTTTTATTGAAGCCTCTTGTACTGCTCCTAAATTCTGTAATGCAGATTGTTTCCCACAAAATAGCAAACATATCTTTGGAAATAAAGCTGCTACTCTTAAAAGATGATGAGATTCCTTGTGCAATAAAAAGATTTTGATTAGCACAATTTTTTTTTTTTGCCTTTTCTTTTCTCCTTGGCCTAACCTTGGACATGGTCTAGGTTTTAGAAATACCTGACTGATAGTTTCATTTTTCTTCTTCCTCTAGTTTGAAAGTAAGTCTTGTTGCTTCATAAGCCTTGCATATACTAATTAAGGATTCCTTATCCAAAGCCCTTTTAAATGTTGTGTTTTGGACCCCACGAGACAAAACTTACTGGCCTGAAATTTTTTTGGTGCTTTTACATATATACATATATATATACACATATACACATATATATGATTATATATATATATATTTAGTTAATGTTCCATAAATTGGCTAGGAATGCAATGTCACTGAGGAGGAGCATGAGATTCAAGTTTCAAAATTACCTTACTAGTGAATTAAGTTCATGATTCATTCCTGTTTCAGGGTTTCCCACAGCAGAACGGGAGTAGATATTTTTTCAGTGGTGGTGCTGTTCTTGATCTGTTCAGCAGTCTGGAGATGTCCATTTCTGTTGATGTCATAAAGCCTTACTTATTAAATTGGTTGAAATAACAAAATAAAAGCTTGTGTTCAAGTTCAAAGGAATAGAAAGGTTTTACCGTATTAAAGCCAGTGAGAAAAGTGCTGATAATTCAGTATCTATCTATAATTACTTATACATAGTTTTTACAGGCAAGCAGTGTACAGATAAAGACCATAAACATGTATTTGTCATCCTTCCTCATTACTCAGAGCTAAAAGCAGATCATGTTCTTTGAATGTCATACCTTTCAGTTCTTACATTTATCTTCTCAAATGTAGTAAACTTCTGAAATTATACTGTGTGTCAGTGCTTACAAGTCAATAAATGACATGATTATTGTTTTCCAGCTGTACAAAATGAACGGGACAGGATAAGTACAAGAAGAAACACTTTTGATGGCTGCAACATTCCCTCTATTAGTACATTGTCACAAGCTGAGACACTCTCCCGTCAGGTACTGAGATCTACCACAAAATTATTTAGTGGCTTTCAGACCGCTTTTACTAAACTTAAATAGTTTTATGTTTCTTATTGTATTAAATATAACTACTGAGATTACTTTTTTCTACTTTCAAAATGCACCCATCTTCCTCTTCCCAATGAGAAAATCAGTAATAGAATACATTCTTGAAGCAAAGTCAATAGAAAAAATTCTACTTTGTCCAGGACAATATGTCCTAGGCACCTTTCTTAATAAAGCTTTATGGTTCTTACTGCTTTTAAATCAGTTGCTGTCTTAGGCAGCTGGTGGCATCTATCTATCCTTGAGGCTGGCTTTCCCATGAAACATTAGGGAAAAAATTGTCCAAAGCCATTACATTCAAAGGGGTGTGGACACTCATTTCCTTACATTCTTTAGAAAATCCCATTTTTAATATCCTTAGACATTATAAATAAGGCAAACAGAAGTGTTCCAACTGTAGAGTCTATTCACATCTTGCTTTTAAATTTTCTTTGTCTCATCTGAACTTCATTTTCTCTTTTTCTTTTTTTTTCCCTATCCAATCAATTGCTGAATGGAACAGTCTCCAGTCCTTTTCTGCACCTCAGATAAATCATGGTCATTGATTCTGCATTCTTGCACCTCTTGCTAACTTGCTTAGAATTTAACTGCCACCTTTATGATTTCATGCTGACTGATTTATACATCCCCAAATGTTTTGTAATCTCATCCTTTATCAGCATCTCTCTCAGGGTGGAACTGTCTGTAAAGAATTGATGCAGGAATTACTGGGTGATAGTCTTTGGCACATGTTGTGTGTCTGGGCACACTAGATGAACATAATGGACCTTCCTACCTTTCATACCTATACAGTATGAAAAATATGGCTATTTTTTACCTCCTTAGTAATTTTTTGAACTTGCTTATTGTGCTTTTTTATATTACTCCCTTAATCATTTCCAACTGGTATATGCAATTCAGGAATAAGAATTGTCTTAAACAGAATCACATCCTCAGCTGTTCCTGCCACAAAGTTCTTTTCAAACAGTAGATTCCACTCATAAAACATCAACTTCTGTATTCACACAAATTTGTTCTCCTTCCTATTTGGTGTGTCTTAGTAGGACAGAATTGCTTCCACTATGTCAAGCATATATGAAAATACAATCTTGGCCTCAAAGTCCAAGAGATTACTTTAACATGATGGAAAATTAAAGTCTTAAAAATCCTTGTTTTTCCTGCAATCACATGGGGCTGTAAGATGAATTCAGTCCTTAGGAGAGACTTGGAGGAGATGGTAGTATCCCAAATCATTATCTAAGTCCTTCAGCTGTGAAATGAGGAGGAGGGTGGCATTCATCCCTTTTGAAATTTTCATATTAAATAGGGAAAATTAATTATTCTTTTCCTGAAGATCCCTTACAGGGGAAAGTTGTCCAAGTACAATGTTTCTCCTGCAGACCCAGGAGAAGCTTCCAGAATTATGTAAATATGGAAGGTTCATACTCATTGGAGTAAAGGCATTTGTCCTTGAAGGTTTTCAGGACAGTTGGGATATAGTGTTCTATTGTCATGTTCACCAAGTCATTAATAGGTACAAGTTGCACTGGGAGAGGTTTCATCTTGATATAAGAAAAATTTTTTTACAGTAAGAACAAGCAATTACTGGAACAACCTTTCCAGGGGTGTGGTGGAGTCCTTATCACTGGAGATACTAAAGATGTGATTGGACACATTGCTAGATAATCTCATCTAGGATTATTTTCGCATAAAAGGTTGGTTGAGATGGTCATTCAAGGTCCCTTCTAACCTGTGCTAGTCTATGATTCTATGAAGTCAACGACTCCTGCTGTGCACTCCAGAAATCATTGAATCATAGAATATTAAGGGGTTGGAATGGACCTTATAGATCATCTAGTCCTACACTCCCTGCCATGGGTAGGGACATCTCTCACTAGACCAGGTTTCTCAAGGCTTTATCCAGCCTGACTTTGAACACTGCCAGGGCTGGGACATCCACAACTTCCCTGGGCAACCTATTCCAGTGTCTCACCAGCGTCACAGTAAAAAATTTCTTCCTAATATCTAATCTAAATTTCCCCTCTTTCAGTTTATACCCACGAGCCCTTGTCCCTCTCTGGCTTCCTTGTAGGCCCCCTTGGGATACTAGAAGGTTGCTATGAGGTCTTCATGCAACCTTCTCTTCTCCAGGCTGAACAGTCCCAACTTCCTCAGCCTGTCTTCATAGGGGAGATGCTCCAGTCCTCTTATCAACTTACTGGCCCTCCTCTGGACTTGCTCCAACAGTTCCATGTCCTTCTTATGTTGGGGACACTAGAACTGTACACAGTACTCCAGGTAGGGTCTCACGAGAGCAGAGTAGAGGGGGAGAATCACCTTCTTGAACATCTGGCCGCACTCCTTTTGACGCAGCCCAGGATTCAGGTGGCTTTCTGGGCTGCAAACACATACTCATGTTGAGTTTCTCACCCACCATCACCCCCAAACCCATCACCTACCCCAAATAATAAGCAGGCTAAAGCAACAGAGAAATAGAAATAGGAAAGTTCATAGCTTCATATCCTTGTCAAGAGATGCACTCCAGGGAAGTCATCCCATGAATCCCCAACAGAAGTTCACCAGTAATTTTAACATAGAGTCTATATTTTGTAATGTAAGATGTAATTTATAAAAATGCAGATATTAAAGGAAGGACAATGTATTAATTTCATGGGTCAGTATGCCTAACAGTTAAACAATCTACCTCTCCTTTACCTTCTTGTGTTATCTTCTAGTTGGTGCATGGTGGTATCTTTCTCAGGTAGATCAGAGCGTGACCTACAATCAGAAATCTCTTCTTCATACTTTTGAATGATGATCAAGACCCCTTTTACTCTTGTAGAAAAAAAAAATGAAATGTGCTGAATTTCTTTACTCTTTCTGTACTGAAGACTTTCTAGACTGAATCACTCTGGTAGCTCTCACCTGGATGATATTCAGTATTTTCAACTTCGTTTTTGTAGAACAGATGCCAGAAGTGGACTCATGATTATAGCGTGGATTTCACAAATTCTCTGTCTGCAAAGAGACAATACCTCTAACCTTTTTGCTATGTGATAGCCTTTGAATTATGTGTCTGAGGAATTGTTCACCTGCCTAGCTGCTGTATTTCCCTGAGAACTAATGTTCTACTGGTTAACTGACATTAATATCTAAGCTGTTTTCAGTGTTTTACGCTACTGAATTATGTAGGAAGCACTGAACTTTAGTTCAGAAGTGCAACTCCTTTTGACTACCCAAGGATAATGGGATTTCACCACAGATCCCACTGGGGGGTTTAACATGAATATATGACTGAAGGGGAACTGGTAGGAGTCAACCTAAATATCTTCCACCATCCTGAAATGTGTGGGGACATGGTATTAGAAGATCAAACAATTTTTTTTTTCTGAAGAAGAGAATCACACTACCTAAATTCCTGAGTTTGCTTTCAGTAATAAAACATAAAGGGAAAGTCAGTTTTCTACCTTGTACAGTGGTAGGATTTTTAGTTTTGTAGTGGTGGGATCTTTTTCTTTTTCTTTTTCTTTTTCTTTTTCTTTTTCTTTTTCTTTTTCTTTTTCTTTTTCTTTTTCTTTTTCTTTTTCTTTTTCTTTTTCTTTTTCTTTTTCTTTTTCTTTTTCTTTTTCTTTTTCTTTTTCTTTTTCTTTTTCTTTTTCTTTTTCTTTTTCTTTTTCTTTTTCTTTTTCTTTTTCTTTTTCTTTTTCTTTTTCTTTTTCTTTTTCTTTTTCTTTTTCTTTTTCTTTTTCTTTTTCTTTTTCTTTTTCTTTTTCTTTTTCTTTTTCTTTTTCTTTTTCTTTTTCTTTTTCTTTTTCTTTTTCTTTTTCTTTTTCTTTTTCTTTTTCTTTTTCTTTTTCTTTTTCTTTTTCTTTTTCTTTTTCTTTTTCTTTTTCTTTTTCTTTTTCTTTTTCTTTTTCTTTTTCTTTTTCTTTTTCTTTTTCTTTTTCTTTTTCTTTTTCTTTTTCCTTTTTCTTTTCCTTTTTCTTTTTCTTTTTCTTTTTTCTTTTTCTTTTATTTTTTTTCTTGGTTTCCTTTTCCATTTCCTTTCTCTTCTTCTTCCATGGTATGATAGCAGCTATAAACTGACCTTGGCTTCTCAGGTTTGGCTTTATCTTAAGTTGTCTTTCTTGCCCGGCTTAAGAGCAAGCATGGTTTTGTTCCTTTGCTTGAAAAGTCATTAAGAATTTCAGGATTTGGCTCAGTGATTATGTAAAAGTGCCCCAGCTTCAGGCCCAGAAAGATATTGCTCTGTTCCTATTTCACAGAACACTGTTCACTGCAGGTGGTCTAATGCACACTCATATCCTTTACATTTCCTCTGAAACGTCTCAAGCCTCGGCCTGTACGGCTGCTTCATCATTACAAGCCATTCTCCTCCAGGCACTAAACCCCCCCTGTTTTACCTTCTAAAGTTAATGATACTTATCTTTTCACTAGAGGAACATGCTACCCCTTTATCACTCTCTTCCTTTGCCCTTAATGTTACTGCATGCCCCTATGAGCTCTTTTTTTTTTGGAAATGAAGCAAATGTCAACCATTTTAAAGGAAAAAACCGAATCCACCTCCCCTCTGCAAATGATAAGGGCTCTGGTATATTTATAAATAGTATTTGGGAATGATAAGATACTGAATCACAATATGAATAGTGTAATTTTTAGCATACTACAGTGCATACTGGTACTAATGAGAATTTACATGCTGAGTCATGGTCCATATGATCAAGGAGTTTCTCAAGAGTATCCGTGATTACTGTTGTGATTTTTTTCTTAAATATGCTATTAACTAGTGAGAAAGGAATTATATGGAATTTAACATTGTTCATTTCTTTCTGTCATTTTGGCCAGATCTCAGTCTCCAGTCCTGGTGCTAGCACTGATATAAGTGTTAAGAAAATTGCTGGTGTTAGTGATGTCTGTGAATCTATGAAGCAACAACTTTTGGTCCTGGTGGAATGGGCTAAATATATTCCAGGCTTCTGTGAATTACCACTGGACGATCAGGTATAAGAGGAAACCAAAGAGTGAACTTTAATTATTGTTCCGTTATTCCTGTGGTATTTAAATGTTATGATTAAACACTTATTCTTTTTTGTCTGGTCAAATAAAATGGGTTCTAGACCCACCATCTTTTTTTGTGTTTTTCTTAAGTTTTGAAGTGGCACCACCACAAAAAAAGACATTAACAAAAAGAAGCAGCAAACCAACGTGTCTTTAAGTGTTTTGTGCTTTCTGTAGCCTTTTTTCTGACTTTGAAAAGTATTTACTTCATGCTCACCTTTCATTATAATATGGTTTAAGATAGCATGTTATTTAATTTGAAGCAGGTCTTCTCTACTTGCAAAAAAATAATTGGAATCTCAAACAAATATCAAACACACTGGTACAAATCGATATCAAATAATTTTCATATTAATGGACTAAGATTTTATTGTATATAATGAATGGGGAAAAAAGTATCAAACCTTGAAAATTCATAATAAGTTTTATGACAGAGGTCTGATCTATCATCAGGTCTGTAATATATGGTAATATATCACTGGCTTTCACAGTAAGTTGTGCTGGCACGCCTAGAACCAGTGTCTCCATGTTGCAGTGAGCAGTTCTCTCACCAGTGGCCTAGGCGGGAGGTAAATTTGTGGCTTGGAATCTCTCAATTCCAGTCCACCAAAATCCAATTTATCTTGAAAATCACTCTGTGCACTGGAATTGTATGAATTTTTTTGCCTCTTTCAGTCGCTCAGTTTTTAACAAAATCCTACAAGAAGGATTAGATCATCCTTGGTTTTGAGATTTGAACTGAGTCATTCCCTCCTATGTTCTTCCTTAGGATTATGAATGTGTTTCAGGACACAGGAGACCCCCCAAAAAATAGCAGTTTAACGATGTCTTTGCAGACCCACAGAGTCTGCATAAGCAAAATGTACTGGAATAAGTTAAAACTCTGTGAAAGAAGGAGAATTTTAAATGCATTGGTTTCACAAGGGCAACAAAAGCAAGCAAAAAAAAGTAATTTTTATTGTTAAAATGGCATGAAGGAAAAAGGAAGGTATCAGACCTCATTAAAAAGTTCCTATCTGTATTTTTTTTAAAAATCAGCTTAGAAAAATAGGCTGAAAACACCCCTGCAGTGCTTGAAGGATACATGTTGGGAAATACTCTGGAGCCTGATGTACCTTAGGAAAGTAGGGACAAAGATATTGAGAGATTAAATAAATGCCAGTTTTAATTTGTGAAAGCCAATTTCTAAGAGGCATTGTGCATTTAGTTATAAAATAAGCCATATGGTTTTGAACAAGCAATTCCTGATTTGGGAGCCAGGCTGATTTACAAATCATAGAGGTGGCTAAGTTAACTCTACTGAGAACCTGAAAAGTCTTAACAGATAACTATACCTAGGTGCTGTATACCTTAACATCACTCATAAAGCATTGGCTTGGATTAAAATTGCTTACCAAGAAAGGAGTTCCCTGAGGAAACAGAGACCATCACTGAAATTTCAAGCGGACATTAAAACCATAGGAAAGTAAATAAGTGACAAAGTGTAAACTAATAAACACATTTTTAAGTGCTTTCGCAGTATGAATCAGGATTCTTCTTTGTTGACAGTAGTGGCTATTTTAGCATATCTGGCTTTGTTGAGGAAAAAGCTCTTTTAAGTGCCACATAAATTTTTGGTTTAAGGTGAGAAAAATGAAACACCAATAGTGCCAAATTTACTGTAATAGTTTATTCCAGCCCACTGGAGTCTTTAGTGTCAACTTAAAATGCCAGAGAAAACTTTGTCAGAATACACACTAGAAAATAAATGCAAGTAATGTATTTGTTAAGAAGTATTTTGCAGGGCCTAATATTTAAATTCTAGATGGGCCGCTGGAAGTGGCAGAGGATGACAGTTGTAGAGTGCTGTTAGTACAGTGTTAAGATTTCTACATTCACTTTACATTTTACATTAGCATCTTATGATCTTAAACGTACTTATAGCTGAACACAGTAATATGCATCCTCTTTTCTTTTGCTCTTATTGGAACTTACTGCATTATCATCTAATGAGTCTGCTGTTTTTATCATGAGGTTGCCCTGCTAAGAGCACATGCTGGGGAACACCTGTTGCTTGGAGCGGCAAAACGGTCCATGGTGTATAAGGACATTTTACTTTTGGGTAAATATTGGTTTTGTTTTACTTATTAATGATGATGTTATAGTACATTAGCAACCGTGTAATCACTTAAGTGGGACAACTGTTCTGGTGCAATCAGAGCAATGCGTTCTGTGAATGCTAAATAGCTATTAATGACATAATGTCACATGCCCTGTTCTAGCAAAAGCAGGTGGACAGTTTCCTGTGATTTAATACAGCTAAAGGTTTATTGGATATCAGAAACCACAACTTAAGGGAGTTCCTGGCAATTGTCTCCTTAAATTAGCATCATTTCTACACCTTTGTCCCATAAAAAACCCAGAACAAAACAAGAAAATAAAATCTTTACAAAACCCAATTTACTTAAGAGAGAAGAAGCCAACATGTTGCACATGTACTAATTTCAGTTCTCAAGAAAATCATTTACCTGTAGCTTTCTCAAGAGTCCTTCAGACACAGTCAGAGAAGACACTACTGGCTAGAAACTGGATAAGCTGTTCCCCTGGGCTTGGGAAAGCAGCTTGCTTTCCCAAGAGCCCTCTCATTACTGCCTTTACAGTTGCCACATGGCCATCATGTAAACAGCTTGCCTGCTGTCCCCTGCCATGTGGCAAATGGGTGCATCCATGGCACAGTGAGGAGTCATGCTGCAGAAGCATATTCTTGGTCACTTGAAGTGGTTCCTGTGCTGGGTTGTATAAAGAGAACATGGCTGTTACGGAAGGGGATGTTGTCGCATGGTGGAAACATGTCTTCTCATAGTTCATGCAACAGAGAGACACAATTAAAAGATGTGTGCCTGTGTGTTAGCATTGTTTGACACAGTGCTCTGCCACTCTGAAGTGCACCCTGCCAAAAAGGGTTGTATTAAATGTGTGCAGCACTTGGGCTGTTTTGTAAGGAAGTGTGTAGCTCATCTTGGACAGGTTTTTTGATGTGAGGCAAGACTATACGGAATAGGGATTCAAACCAGTCTCTTCACTGGTGGTGTGGTACAAGGATGTTTTCTACTATTTGTTCTCCTTGTTCTTTGGGCCTGCCTTTTGATAACTCTAGATCAGCTTGAACTTATTTTAACACCTATTAGAACATTGAAAGGACAAGAGGGGCTTGGTCTGGAGATATTTCTCTCACCAGCAATCCTTTCAAGATAAAAACTAAACAAACGGCTTTCTTAATGTAGTTCTTTCTCTAGATACAGTTTTACTGGCAAAATTAACAGCAATTGTAAAAAAAATCTACAGTTTTATTGGGATTAGTTGGTAGCAAGGAAAATAATGATAAAATAATAAGCAGAAAATGATATTCAGTATCATGAGCATCAGCATATATACCAAAAGAAGAAACAATTTGAGGCTTCAGAGCTTATTTCTGATCCTTGGAGTCAGGTATCTGTAAAGCTTATGAGTCATTTTGGCATGGATCTCTTGTGATAGAATAATCAATTTTTCTTTCTGAAGCTGCTTGGTGGGTTCTGAAAGCTCTGTGACTTTCCTAGTGTTCTCTAGAAAGTTAGTTAAGATGCCATGGTGGACACTTCTCCAAAATGAAAATGTAAAATTAAAAAAAATAATTAATTACTGAAATTTTACAATGCTTATAAATTTTATTAGGAGTAATAGAAGCATCTATGAGGAAAAAAAAAAGCATTCCCAGTGTCTCCTCTTGTCAATTGACGAATCCTTATCATTCAGCTTGGGATAAATGATTTTAATGGGGGAAGAAGAAATTTTAAGATCAGTTTACCATTTTATTTATCTGTTGTGTAAAGATAAAGGTCTTCTTACTTTGTACTTGTGCATTCAAATATGGACCTCAGTCCTGTGGACTAATCAGTAAGTGTACATGTTGGCATATTTACGTGACCAGGTTATTTACTGGCTGACAGCTATAACTTGCGCATATATTCTGTTTGCAAAGAACAGTTTTGTATGATGCTAAGGGGAGTTATTACTTTAAAAAATTATTGATAAAGCAAAAAGAAATGTGCATTTGAAAATGGGCTTCATCTAGTATGTTGCATCAAAATATTTATATCAGTCCACATGTTGGTGTTCTTTCTCTCTAAGGTAACAATTACATAATCCATCGCAACAGTACTGAAGTAGAGATCTGCCGAGTAGCAAATCGAATTCTAGATGAATTAGTTCGACCCTTCCAGGAAATTCAAATAGACGACAATGAGTATGCTTGCTTGAAAGCCATTGTGTTTTTTGATCCAGGTACTTTTTACGGAAATATCTCTCAGAATTGTTTTACATGTGATGGTATTGAAAGTAATTTTTGTTAATGTAGCATTTGTTCATGTTATCTAGCTGAATGGAAAAGAATAAAACGAAAAAAAGTAAGATGTTTCTCCCAAATCATAATCTGTCTTGACTTTAAATTTTTGCCATTTTTAAGATGCAAAAGGCCTGAGTAATCCAATGAAGATTAAGAACATGAGGTTCCAAGTCCAAATCAGTTTAGAGGATTATATTAATGACCGTCAGTACGACTCCAGAGGACGATTTGGAGAACTTCTTCTTCTATTGCCTACACTCCAGAGCATCACTTGGCAAATGATTGAGCAAATACAATTGGTTAAACTATTTGGAATTGTTAAAATTGACAGTTTGCTTCAGGAAATGTTACTGGGAGGTAAGCTAACAATTTGTTAAATTTGCTATACTGTATTAGGTTGAATTTAGCATGCTGAAGTGTAAGCAACCACTTACATCTTGTGATGTAAGCAACCACTCTGACTTGCTGGCTAAGCTTTGGGTCGTATAATCGTTAGCTAAAGCCTTCTTGTCCTGATTGCTCATCTTGTTAACTCAGTCGTACAACCACAGATTGTGATGTGTGCTTCTCAGTCACTGCTGTGTTTTCCCTCGGCAGATGAAAGAATCCTTACAAATATTTCATGAAATCCACTGTTATTGCAGTCAAAACAGTGAAAATAAACACAGTGCTTAATATGGTTGAAGTCTGGTTAAATTGTTTAATGAATACCCGGAGGCAATTATTCAAATTGCCAATCAAAATATTTGCTCCGCAGAAATGTAACTACTGAAGTATAAGTCACTGGCAGCAACATGCTCATTTGGATTGATGTATGCTCATGTTGTTTTGCAGGTACTTCTAATGATGCCAGTCATCTGCATCATCCAATGCATCCTCACTTAGCCCAAGATCCATTAACTGGCCAAACTATTCTCATAAGTTCAATGTCTGCTCCTGTACATACAGAACAGATTTGTAAGTAATTGCAAGTTTTCTGTCATAACATTTCACTGTTTCATTTAAAAATATTAATTAGAATGGTGGCCCATCGGTGCTCATAGAGTTATTTCATCATCATTATTAAATTAACATAATTGTGCATTAAAAATCTATGTATATAAATGGTGTTAAGTAAGAGATTTTGACCTGAATTTAATGTAATTTTAAAAATCAGCACCATTCTGATATATCATTGGGTTTAAATGCACAATTTTTGATAAACTACAAATTCTGATAATTAAACATATCCTATTTCCCTAGCATGTCAAATGCAATGGAACTCCCTTTCAGTGCAGTAGTATGCACATGCAGAGTAGTCCAGACTACAAAAATATTTGATTTTTTCTATGTTCTTTTTCAGCAACTCCAGAAACTCCATTACCTTCCCCTCCTCAAGGCTCTGGGCAAGAATACAAAATGTCTGCGAATCAGGCTTCAGTCATTGCACAACAATCTATTTTGAAGCAAAAACCATTGTGATAATGTTTCTGTCTCTGCCTTACTAATCTGTCTCCCTTTCCTTCCTTCCTTTCTTTCTTCCTTCCCCCCTTTCCCTCTTCCCTTTTTACCCCCATCTCCCTTTCTTTTTTATGCACTAGATAAATTGGTAGGACACTTGCACATTTAAAATCTCAGGTTGATAAAGGAAATTATTTCCTCAGCAGCCACTACTGTGGGTGTTCCTTAAAACACCTCATGATTTGGAAAATAATGCTGTTCTGACTGCCACGTACAACTGTAACTGTGGACACTGCAGTCTGACAAATATGTATAGAGGTTGATGTTATTTTTAGATCTTATAACTGCACAGATTAATGTTTTTATTTCCTGTTGTTGTCTTAATATTACTGTTTTAGATCTGTATATAATTTTTTCATTGTGACAGAACTGGTTAGTGCTTGTTTAGCTGTGAATTGTAGGCATGAAAAAGTGGGGTAATCATGCAGAAGCTCGGATTCCACTAATAATAAAACAGCAGGCTACAAAAAAAGAACATTCATTTAAAAAAATAAAGGAAAACATACTTAATGGACAGAAATACCCAACTCATTTTACAAAATCTCAGTTTGAAAGGACCATCTCTTTTCAAGTAAAATTTCAATGAAAGAGTTGAATCTTTCCTTCCTAGCTGTTTGTATGAATCAGAGGGTGAATATGTTTGAGGACTTTTTAAAATACACAGTAGTATCTAAATCAGCCAGTTGGACAGTGCTGAAGTATTTATATTGATAAATAGTTAGAACAAGGACTGGTGTGCTTTTTGGTCCGGACTTAGTAGTACTCTCCCGAAAGATTTCTGGGCACACTTTGGGAATTAGGCCAGTCCAGGGACGCTTTTCACCAGATAGTTTGGTTATGGCCCCCTCTCCTTAGGGGCACAGAGTGTATAGGTGAAAATATGAGCAGACCATGCCACTTGACCTCAGGGCAGGAGTACAGACTGTTGTACTCTGATTTATTAGTCTAAGTGTAGCCATTGTGTCTATTTGCTGAACTGGCTGGTCTTTCAGCAATCATGAAACTTCATCTACTGAGTTGTAGTTATGTAGTAGCTCTGTGTGTGGAGAGGTATGGCTACTAATTGAAGTAGCTAATGTGCCTGAGTTCAGCTCCAGATGTTCCTAGTTTGAGCCATGATATTTCAAGCCAGAATACAGCCAGCACACCAGCTATTCATCCTCTCAATGTTTAAGAGTTTTCTGAAGCTTGGGATGAATTGGTTTGCTGTGATGAACCCCCTTTTCCTATTCCTCCTCTTCCAGTCTGGAAGGATCCAACACTGACTAAGTTTTGTGTCTGGAGTCTATAATAACCCATCTGGATTTGGACCCTCCATGGATTTTCACAAAGGGGACCTTGTGACACATGTTCACTTGGGCATATATACTCAGTTACAATTTGTAAAAGTAATCTGTTATGATACATAAAGTGATAAGTTGTTCATACATTAGTGATGTCATAAGAAAATCACCACTTTGCACATTTTATTTATTCCAGACAGCAGTGATTTTTCTTTAGCACTTTAAAGTAGACTTTCTTTCCAGAAAATATGTAAGAGAGAAACAGGCAAAAAAAAGAAGATATCATAAAATACTGCATTTTGCTGAAGTATTGCAAAGAGAACACATAGTGGAGTCAGAGACTCTGCAAGGTGAGATCAGCCTGAACCAGACCTGAACTTGCAATAATCACAGCATCTAAAGATGGTGTAGTTACACCTCTGGCTTGTAAAAGTTGCTCAATCAATCTCCAGTGATTCTTCAAATACGTTTTTGTAGGCAGGAAATGCAGCACAGTAAATGCTGAGCTGGCCTGAACATTCAAAAGGCTTTAATGAGAATCCACCTACCACCAGGTAGACTCTGTGTTTCTTTGTTATTTTAAAGTAGTTACTTTTGTAAAGTCTGCATGTATTAGGTCTTAATGTTTGCCTTTTGCTTTTTAGATTGTTTTGCTTTTTCTGTTTACTGTTTGTTTTTTATCAATGCATTGCTCTTTTTACAAGTTCCTTTAGTATGGGTTTTTATGACAGAAAAAGGTACTGAAGTTCTGCCATTAACTTTAGGGGTATCTGGACTGTGCTATTTTTACAAGTTGGCCACTGATGCTTTACAGTGAAACACAAAGGTAAAGCATGCATGAGAGATACTGAGCAGTCCAAAAGTTTACTGATTGAGAACACTTTTGTGTACTTGTCATAGAAAGA